GGCTCCGCCACTGTTTATGTTAGTGCTTGGCTCTTAGATACCACATCATTTGCCATGTTTTGAAGATTGCTTTGCGCTCAATCAGTTAATTGGAATTGATCAGTAGAACATTATATTGCTGCAATTTGATTGACTATTTCAACTACTTCAGGCTGATATAGACAACAATGGTACCATCGACTATGGAGAATTTATTGCTGCCACAGTACACCTTAACAAACTTGAACGTGAAGAACACTTGGTGGCAGCATTTTCCTATTTTGACAAGGATGGGAGCGGCTATATTACGGTTGATGAGCTTCAACAAGCTTGTAAAGAACACAACATGACCGATGTTCTTCTTGAAGATATCATCAAAGAAGTTGATCAGGATAATGTAAGTAACATTTCCATTTAGTAATGAATTAATGTCATCTTTAGTTCTTTTACTGCCTATCTTCTTGCTAATAAAGTATGTTCTTTTGGATTTCAAGAAACAAAAGCTTTCATCTGGTAGAGATACAAGCACATACTTTATACACTCAAAAAAGAGAATTGCATCTCATATACTCATAGAGGGCTTTAGATTATCAAATTTTGTTGTAGGTTTTTTTAGTAAGAAGAATTCAACTAATTATTATTGTTTACTCGTATGAAATAAAGGAAGAACAGATTTTAGTTTATTGCTAATCTTATCTTAGTATTTAAAAGAAAAATATGCACATCTGGGAATGTTTCTGCTGGGGAAATATGAAGCTCTTCTATTCTAGGAGTTAAATGAGTCTGTAAACCAAGCATAATTATATACCAATATCTAAATCTCTTATTTAGAGATTATCTACCCCGGATCTTGTCAAGATTGGTGGCTGTGTTTTTGTCAACAAAGACAGCTGTAGGCGTCAAAAAATGCTGAAAGATATCCAAATACAGCTTAAGAGGAGATCATCCAAAGAGCAAAAGAACACAAGGAAACAGTGTAGACTGTCTCGCCGTGCGAGACAGTGTTTACTGTCTCGCACGCGAGACAGTGTTGACTGTCTCGCACGCGAGACGGTGTTTACTGTCTCGCACGCGAGACGGTGTTTACTGTCTCGCACGCGAGACGGTGTTTACTGTCTCGCACGCGAGACAGTTTTCAAAGGCTCAGAAACAGTTTTATAAACCGCAGACACGTGGACATTAACTGTCAAAGAACATGGGGAACGTTGTGGGCGAGAATCACGTGGATAACTGTCAAAATAACGAAGTTTGAAAACGTGGGAAGGCAGTTACAAGAAAACTATCTGGCAGTTAAAGATTTCTGAGACAGTATTTACTGTCTCGGAACCCGAAACAGTCTTTGCTGTCTCGGCCGCCGAGACAGCAAATATTGTCTCGGGAATAGTTATTTGTTCAGGGGTTATAAATACCCCCTGAGATCGATTTTTGAGAAGGGGCTGATCAGAGAGCATTGGCTGAGCATTTTGAGAGCAGACAGAGCAGAGTTCTTGAGCTTCTGGCAATTCCTTGAGATTCGAACTTTGACTTGATCTTAAGAAGAGTGATCATCTTACTTTGATAAGATATTCACTTCAAATTCTCACTTCGATAAACGAAGGAAGAATCATTAAACCCCTCACGATTCAATCAGAATCTGTGATTCGGTGGCCCACGAGTCAAAGCCGGCACACTGCAAAAGATCCGCACGCAAGAGCGATTCCAAACAACGATCCTGTGTTTTGTTTCTAAAAAGTTATAATTTTCCTTTTGTTTGTTAAAAGAAGTCTTATAAAAATGTTATTTGTTTGGAATTTTTGTAATCGATCGCGAAGATATAATGAATTCGCACAACGAGAACCAACTTTTGAGCAAACAATTGAATCCATGGTCGAATACGAATTCGACCAAACCAAGTTTGAGGAATATCTCTCATCATCCTCTTCAAGATCTTCATTGTCTCGCAAGTACAAGAGGATCTCACAATTGAGGAAGACCTACATGCCAAATAAGGCACAAAATGAAGATTCTCGCCTGATTGTTGCTGAGGATTTTACTCGCAACATCTCTGCTCGCGATGGCTCTTATCTAGTTAAAGAGTCATCGAATCAAAGCCCACCGGCACTGACGAAGAGGGCTCGTCAGAGACAACGTCAGCGCCGCGCTCGCCAAATAGCTAAAGCCTTGGAACAAACCGACGGGGTTCGTTATCACGCGGACCTAGAGTCGATGAGGCATCGAGTGGTTCAGTTGTCTCGACAACCAATCACTCATATCTCTGCTAAATTAACGATGGATGAATGGACTTTTGTCAAAAGGGCTCGCTCGACCCTCAAAGAATGTATACAAAAGCGTCATGCAAACGCTGCTCATGCTCGTGTTCTCTTACAACAAAGACGAGAAAAAAACAAGGAAACGGTGGCCAAAGAACCGCCAAAACTCTACAAAGTTTGGATTCCAAAGTCTGGAGTTGTGCAAAATCAGCATTCGGAGCCCGTTAAGACTCCGCACCCACAAGGGGGTGGTTCTAAACGTGTGACTCCCGACATAACCTTGGATCGCTCAAAGACAATAATAAGTTGTCCTGAGAATGCCAACAAGGTTTTACATCCTCAGAAGAAGACATGTTCGTCAAAAGACATCGTTATACCTGGGAGGTCATACTAACAGACGATAGGATTCTCCAGTAATCATACTGATGAGTCATATTATCAGCTGGGGTTGTGAACAAAACTCGAAAGAGGATTGTCCGAGAAATGAGCTCTCATTATTTCTGTATGCGAGAGGATTGTCCGAGAAATGAGCTCTCATTATTTCTGTATGCGACTCATTAGAGCAGTACCGTCGGAATATGACTACTCCAAACGAGAAGCCATCCCGCGAAGAGTCTTAGTGTTCCAGAGGCTTTTCACCGAAATATCGAAGCCTAAGCCGGGATATTTCCACAAGAGAAGATCAACTGTCCAAGATGACGAATTCCCTGAAATCACCATCAACATGGCTGATAAAGAAAAATCTAAGCGGTATTCAAGTGAATCAAATCCCGAGTTTTCCCCAGGAGGAAAAGTCAATTCAAGAATTGCCCAACGGATGTCTCGACTCCAGTTAAGAGCCATCAGACATAGGGACTACAAGAGAATGCATGAAGGAAAGTCATCAGAGGACGAGCTCTCGGACACTTGTTTTGCGATCGCTTCGGATGATACAGTATCTAGCACAGGGCAAACCAGAGAAGTACTCACAATCACCTCTGATCAGTTCGCTCAAATACTTCAAGAAGCTCTAGCCAAACAACGTGAAGAAATTAGAGCTGAGATGAAGACAGAGATGGAATTAGCTATCCAACAAATGAGAGAATTGCTAGCTCAACGGCCTCAACCCCTGAGTCCAGTCAAAGAACTGAATCCAGCAAGTTATTATGGCTGATACACCTCCCAATGACAATAACACTGGGGGTGGTTCAACGGATCCTCCCAATAACAATATTGGGGGTGGAGCAATTTCACCTCTTAATAACACTGGGGGTGGCCCAATTATTTTTGCTCAACATCACTCAGAGAGAGATGAAGATGAGGACAAGAAAATGCAAGACCTTGAAAACAAAGTCAATGCTTTGATGTCCGCTCAGGAAGTAAAGAAGACGGGTATTCCATGTCCCTATCCAAGAGAATGGGATTCAATACCGTACCCGGCAAAGTTCAATCTGATTAACTTCACACCATTTGATGGGAAAAGCTCGTCTACTCAGCACTTGATTTATTTCAAGTCTCATTTGGGCATGATCTCTGGAAATGAGGCTTTAATGGTCCGGTCATTCGTTGGTACCCTTCGTGGGCCCGCCTTCGATTGGTACCGACGTCTCAAGCCAGGGAGCATCAATTGTTGGGATGATATGGAAAGTTTGTTCCTCAGCAATTTCTTCGATGATGACACTGAAGTGTCAATCGGAACCCTTTTAGATGAGAAGCAAAAAGACGGAGAGTCAGTCGACAATTTTGTCAAGTGCTTCCGTAACATGGCAATGAATTGCAGAGATCCTGTTACAGAGGAATTCATCCTACAAACATGCCATAATAATCTCTCCATCGATGTCCTGGAAGCCCTGGGGATCGTACCATCCAAAACTTGGAAGGATTTGAAAATACGCGGTGAACAAGCTGAACACTTTCTTAAAAGAAAGAAAGCTGAGAGAAACCGACCGACAACATCTACAATCACTGAGAACGCGACTCTCGATACGAAGTTTCAAAAGGAGTATTCTTTCGAAAACGATGAAGCTCCAGCCATATTAAAATACCTCCTCGCCAATGACAAAATCGAACTACCACCTATTAAAGATCAGGAGGAAGCTAAGAGGATTACGGATCCAAACTACTGTGCGTACCACAGAAGGGTTCTTCATCCCACCGAGATTTGTTTTGGACTCAAAAACAAAATCCAAGCCTTAATTGACTCCGGTGTCATAATGGCAAAACAAGCCAAATAAAGAAGACTCTAACTCCATTGGGTGCACGAATATAAACTATTTCCCCTAACTCCAAAAAGTATACGAGTATAAACTGCTTGCTTCTCCCTTTCCTCCGACAGGTATACGAGGTTAAACTACTTCCCTTATTTTTAATAACGGGAAGTTCCTAGAGAATATTACTCCTAATATTCTTAAGGATAACCCAACAATGTGGCCGAATATAATTGGATTTAGATTCGCCAAAGAGCTGGGGGTGGAATACCTCAATTCATTCCAATGGAAAGTTCCTGGAGAATACTACACATGGTATTTTTAAGGATAACCCAAAACCGATTAATTATTCAAGGTGAAAACTAATCATCAGAATAATTTATTCTTAATCATGATTAAGAACCTCCCGCTATGGCTATTTAATCATTTCCAAGATGATTAAAACTTTTCTACAGTGACTTTCGAAACACTCTTTCGTTGAGATGAGATTCAATGACTTCATCGGTCAATCTTCCCTTACGAAACTCCCACAGAGTAATTGTGGAGCGCTTAATGACTTACGGGCCTCCACCACAAAATCCCTCACTGATCAAATCAATTGACGGTGGGTCCACCAAAATTCTTCACGGTTGAATCCATTCAAACCCCCACTGTGCCTAAGCCTTTAACACTCCCACTGTTGAAGTCCTGACACGACATCCAAAATTTTAATCAGATGATCCATAGCGATTATCAAACCCCTTTGTGTTAAGTCCTTATCGCTTGACACCAAAAACTCCCACCAGGTGTTGTGTACAAGTTAACATTCCCATCGTTATTTGTACCTCGCTCCCACTTCTTATTTGGTCAAACCTTCCTACAGTTAGGACCAAAACCAAAATCTCCTCTCGATTCCTTCCATGAACGAGATGTCCACAAATTGAACGATCAAACCTTTAAACAGTTAGGATCGTCTTAAATCT